AAAGATGTACAAACCCTTCACAATCCCTTAAAATGTGATATCTGGGGAGCAGAGGGACCATTGCTGGCAGAGAATATGCATCAGAAAAAAATCAGAATAGTCTTTCTTTTGCATTTCCCCTTTTTCTTATTCTGTATTCAGTAGCTTGTAGGGATTAACAATAACTTGCATTGACTTAGAGTAACTAATTTGTGTCCATTTTCAAACTGCATGTGACAGTAGAATATTCTAATTTCCTTTTGGAAGTATTAGGTGCTTGATTTACTGTTTCGTTTCATTGCTCAATGACTACACATCCTAAAAGACAGAGGAATGAATAACTGTGATCTCCAGACTTCTGCCTGTTGTTTCTCATGTTCTATGAGCTCCAATACAACTGCACAGAAATGGAAGCAAGCAAATAAGGTGAACTAGCTCACCAGAAAGGAGGGGGGAGACAGGCTAGTCATAGGGGAATTCACCATCAGTTCTTGATGCAATGTAGTATTTTAGTGGAAGCTCCCAAAGGAGTTATCAGCTGCCTGGTCTGTGATACTTGAGGGTCGATATGAGAGAATGGCTTCCCGTCTTGTCCAGTACTACTGTGTTTTAAATACTCCTTTGACGTTTCTTTTGGCTCAAAATGCTATAGTTGTTTAATTAAAATTTGTATTTTAATGGCCTAAAATTGAATCTAAAACTAAAAAGGGAAAATATTTAACAGTACTAACCACTTCCTTTCAACTAATTTTTAATATTGCTAAAGGGTTTCAAAGTCAAAATGCATTGCATATTTTAAGAAATATTATTAATTTCATAAGATTTCAGTAAACTACTGTTTAAATCTTCTGTTTTCTGGGGGAGTACATTGAGGGGTGGAAGATGGTGTTTCTTATGAAGAAATGTAATCCTATGTGTTCTGTGTTTGCAAAAATGGATAGGACAAAACTTCTATTATTTGTCTGTCAGACAAATGCACCTATCTGGACAGGAAACTACATAGACAGCAGTTTAATTTGGAGATTAGTCATGATTGTTCCCTAAATGCTCTTGGAGAATAAATGTTGATATTTTTTGTTCTCCTTCAACAGGGAATATTTCCTAAATCTTTCATCCACATCAAGGAAGTTCCTGTTGAAAAGAAAAGGTATTGAATGTTTTATTACACTAAGGATCTTACCTGCTGAAGAATGAATGACTTATAAGGCATTTACATGCCTTAACCATGGTAACTATAATATAAACCTGTGAAATTCAGATACTCTTTTTCATTTTCATTGTGTTAGAATTTCTTCTCTTTCTAGACATTCAGAAACTGTAATACCTGCTGAAATCCCTTTAGTTCAAGAAGTTACCACTACTCTTTGGGAATGGGGAAGCATCTGGAAACAGCTCTATGTGGTATGACATTATTGCATTCTGTGTGTGGCCTGGTAATTAGTCCTATTCAAGCATCTTGAGGTCTTGTTCAAATTGGTGTCTTTTCTTAGATGCAGGGCAGGATCTGGAAGGATTTAAGCAATTACTTCTTCATCACTGCTTAGATGATTACCATTTTCTTCAATGGCTTTAAATGAAAAGGCTGGCTTACTGATGAGGAGTAGTGTAACTGCATGTTTTTAGTTCAAACCCTGGGTACCCTGTACATGATAAACTTTTCATAACTGCTGTTTTTAGAGTTGACAAGTTTCAAGATAGGAGAATTAAACATGACTAGAATTCATTTGAAAAAGATTCAACAAAGTTCTTGAATGTTACGACAGAAGTTGTTCTAGTTCGTATTGGAAGCGTGTAGCTATTAAAGACAGGCAGTTTCAAGAAGTCAGTCTTTTTACTTTCAGTATCTTAACCTACATCTCTTAAAGAAAAACATTTATTTACCTTTTTTTCATCTTGGAGAAAACCATTTTTTTTTCCTGTGAGCACTTTTACCAATACATACAAGCACAATGAATTTGGAGGTATTAGTCAAAAGGGCCACTGCATCAGCATCTGTGTTAATTGTGAGCAAGCAGCCTCTACTCATGGTGGTCTTTTGCATATGCTTGTAGTGTCCACAGTGTCGTGTGGAACTTAGAAGTGATAAATACATTATTTTTTATTTACCTGTTTTATCTTTCTTGTTGTAACCCTACATTAATCTCTACTGATTCTAGTGACTTGTTTAACCTAAGCCTGCTGGCCAAAACGTCATGAAGTGTTGAAAGCATCAAAAGATAGTGAATTCCCTAGTACCTGGGTAGTCTCTTCTACTAAACTGTTTCAACAACTTGCACTGACTGCTCCAGGATCTCAGCCACTGGATTTTGCTTTTTCTCTGCTGGGGCAAAGAAATCTTGACTATGGGTGGTTTTTCCTCATGAATATATTTCCTGAAACTTGTCACTTCTGAGTCTTCCTCTTGTTAACGTCAACGATTAAAACTTTTAATGTTTCTGTGATGACACTGGGACTGCTTTAGTGACTTCTGTGCATTCTCCCACTATTCTCTTGAGTATATTCGTACCACAGCGTTCTTATCAGTATCTCATACAGACCTAAATTGCTTTCATAATGTTTTCTCCTGATGAGACTCAGTTCATGAATTTTAAAACAGCACAATTAAACCCAAAATAATGCAATTTCCTATCCCCATACAAACTATTTACATTTAGTGGAATTTCTTTGTGGTCACATGGAAGGTCCTGTCCTTAAAAATTTGTGGGATGAGAAGAGGAAAGAAGCCAGGGCTAGTACTTAGCCTAATTCTTGCTCCTACAATTACTTAGCATTAAATAGGACACATCCTTGGATTGTCAAGACCAATGCTTTGCTTCAATGTCAAGTTTGAAACCTACTGTTTTCTTTTCTATCTCAGATGAATAAGAAGGAGCAGTTCCAGCAGGTGCAGTCCATGATGTATGACCTCATGGAGTGGCGGTCACAGCTTCTGTCCGGGACTTTGCCAAAAGATGAGCTGAAAGAACTCAAACAGAAAGTCACCTGCAAAATTGACTATGGTAACAAGTAAGTGGCATACATTCCTTCTGGAAAACATGATTTATTTTAGAGCAGCCAGCTAGAACAGAGATGATGATCAAGTTTTCCTCTTTGCAGTTTTGTAACTCATTAATGCAAGATGTAGACAAAATGAATCTTCCTTTTCAAACTTCTGCCTGTTATTCGTGTGGTTACAGTAACTACCATGTTAAGGCTTCTCATAACCAATTGTTATTGCTTTTTCAAAATAGTGATTTATTTAACTACAGACATATGAGTTTGTCAATTGTAAAGATTTGAGGTCAGATAACTGGTCTTTGTACATATATAACATCAGTGTACTCAGGACCCAAAACGTTTCCAACTTTCACAAACACAGCTTACCACCAGTAGTATTGGCTACCACTTCAGAAGTGTTCAGGGAGGCCTTAATGTGGTGGATGAATAGCAAAAGTCTGAAGTGTACAGAGCCTTTGCTGGAGGCAACACAGCACCACCCTCACCCCAATTTACTTAGGGAATTTCCAGGCAAAACTCTGGTTCATAGAAGTGAAACTATCAGGGATAGAATAGCTATCTGACAAAATGCTTTATTTCTTGCCAGTGAAAAGCCACTGCAATACAACACATTTTAGGTAAAAATGGGGTTATCTAGGGGCAAGATATTTAAAATGGCTTGGGGTTGTGTAGAGGAAAAGTGCAAGTTGGGTAGTATTTGTAAGTGTGAGAAAGTGTGGGTTTGAGTTGTGATGTGTGAAGGAAACATTGTGGGGAAGGAGTAAAGGGGAATGACAGTGGAGGCTGAATGGGAAGAGGAGATTGAACATCAAATCTGGAGAGGTTGTGGGTAATCATGTAAGGTGATGAAGATATCTTGCAGTCTGATACAGACTGCTTCAAACAACATTAACAGTGACAGAAGGGCAGCCAGTGCCTCTAGAAATTGTGAAAAACACTGTCTGGCATGAAGTAGTCTGATTTTTGAGAGGCATGGAAGAGTGAGATCCTGGATAGGCAAGAAGGGGTATCTCTTGACTTGAGGTGACACTAAGACACTGGGGACAAGAATGTGTAAGGACATATGGAGGTAAGACTTGAGGTTTTTAAGGTGGGGGAAGAGTGGAAGGAAAAAAGGCATGATTTGTATGAGAGCAAGAAAGCAGAGCATAGTAGTTAAGTAACAGGACTAGGAGGCTAAGAGAGCAACAGAAAAGCAGAAACCACCAGAAAAACCTAGGCACCTTGATTGCAAAGGTTATATGTTAAAAAGCGAAAGAGATGAAGGCTTTGAAGTCACTGAACATGGTGAATCTACTTTATATGAGAGGCATTAAAATGCTTTTTTGACGTTACTTTAAATTCCCAAAATGTATAAATACTGTACAACAGCTTGAAAAGAAAATCTCATTGGGTTAATATTTTCTTCAATGAAATGCTATTACATGTATTTAAACCTTGAAGCAGCTCCTGCATTCTATATCTAAGCTTTATTTTCGTAGAAGGAAATAATCCTGCTTTTATGCCCTTTGTATTTTCACAGAATACTTGAGCTAGATTTGACAGTTAGAGATGAAGATGGAAATATTTTGGATCCAGATAAAACCAGTGTCATCAGCCTATTTCATGCTCATGAAGAAGCAACTAATAAAATCACTGAGCGAATTAAAGAAGAAATGGTAGGAATGACTGGTAAACTTAATCAGTTGTACTGGATTTTCATTTTGGTTTTACCTATTAAAGGGTTGAAGGTAGTAACCTACCATGAAAGCCAGTGGAAACTTTTGCCTCTGACTTAAGAGTAGAGTCACGTTCATTTGTTATAAATATGGCAGAGCCTCAAACTGATTTATCTGCATTTATGCACTAGATTCAGGCTGTGGGTTAGGATGAAAGACTATTCTAAAGTGGTTTCTAAATCAATTATTGGGTTCCTAAATGGAAATACTTTTCCTCATTCTATCTGTGAGTTACTGAGTAGGCTGATTCACTTAGTGAATAGTTATGTGCTTGGAATTCAGCCTGCAAGCTGTGAGTAACCAAAGCTTGCTTTTAGAAGATCTTGTGAGAAGACTAATTGTTTGCTGTATGTTGCTTGTTAGCTAGTGTGATGGAGTTAAAGAATTTAAGCTCATTAAAGAGGGACTCAGGTGAACTCAGCATAATCTTGCGGACACCAGAAGTTAGCATGCCTAAGCAAAGCTGATGAGTGCATACATTTCATCTTTTACAATGCAAAGAAGGTGACTGCTCTTCCTTGACCTTTCTCTATATTAAATCTGTTCAGGGATTTGTAAGATACTTGAGTTCTTTCCTGGATTCATAAGAAAGTAAACTGTAATAAAGCAAGTTTGGGACTGTGAGAATGAAGACCTTAGGCTCACTGTTGGAGAGGATCTGGCTTGAGACCACCTTAAGAACCTGAACATGCACAAGTCCATGGGACCTGATGAAATCCATCTGCAGGTCCTGAAGGAGCTGGCAAATGAAGTTGCTAAGCCACTGTCCATCATATTTGAGAAATCATGGCAGTCAGGTGAAGTGCCCGATGACTGGAAAAAGGGAAATATAACCCCCATTTTCAAGAAGGGGAAAATGGATGACCTGGGGACTACAGAGCAGTCAGTCTCACCTCTGTGCCTGGCAAAATCTTGGAGCAGATTCTCCTGGAAGGCATGCTAAGGCACATGAAAATCAACAAGGTGCTTGGTGACAGCCAGCAGGGCTTCACTGAGGGGAAATCCTGCCTGACCAATGTGGTGACCTTCTATGATGGGGCTACGGAACTGATGGACAGGGGTAGAGCAGTTGATGTCATCTACCTGGACTTGTGCAAAGCGTTCGACACTGTCCCACACGACATCCTTGTCTCTAAATTGGAGAGACATCAATTTGATGGATGGACCACTGGGTGGATAAAGAACTGGCTGGATGGCCGCACACAAAGAGCTGTGGTCAATGGCTCAATGTCCGGCTGGAGACCAGTAATGAGTGGGGTCCCTCAGGGATCGGTGTTGGGACCGGTCTTGTTCAACATCTTTGTCGCTGCCATGGACAGCGGGATTGAGTGCGCTCTCAGCAAGTTTGCCAATGACACCGAGCTGTGTGGTTCGGTTGATACCCTGGAGGGAAGGAATGCCATCCAGAGGGACCTCGACACGCTTGTGAGGTGGGCTGATGCCAACCTCATGGAGTTTAACCATGCCAAGTGCAAGGTCCTACACCTGGGTGGGAGCAATCCCAGGCACAGCTACAGGTTGGGCAGAGAAGAGATTCAGAGCAGCCCTGAGGAGAAGGACTTGGGGGTGTTGGTTGATGAGAAAATGAACATGAACCGGCTTCAGTGTGCGCTCGCAGCCCAGAAACCAACCGTATCCTGGGCTGCATCCAAAGGAGCGTGACCAGCAGGTCGAAGGAGGTGATCCTGCCCCTCTACTCTTGTGAGACCTCACCTGGAGCATTGTGTGCAGTTCTGGTGTCCTCAACATAAAAAGGACATGGAACTGTTGGAACAAGTCCAGAGGATCAGGGACTGGAGCACCTCCTGTATGAAGACAGGCTGAGAAAGTTGGGGCTGTTCAGCCTGGAGAAGAGAAGGCTGCGTGGAGACCTCAGAGCAACTTCCAGTATCTGAAGGAGGCCTATAGGGATGCTGGGGAGGGACTCTTCATTAGGGACTGTGTGTTCAAGGCCAGGTTTAGTGTGAGGTGTCCCTGCCTATGGCAGGGGGTTGGAACTAGATGATCTTGAGGTCCTTTCCAACCCTAAATATTCTACGATTCTAAGCAAAACACCTAACTAAAAGAAAGTTGGGCCGTTGTGCCACTTGATTAATGCCCATGACAAATCACTGGAAAGCACCTTGTGAGTTGTTCTCATCAGTGTCACTGAAGAAGTCTTGTTTCCCAGACATCAGAATGTCATTAACTGACAATATGAGGAAAATGAAACTTAGTAGTCTGCAACAGATCGTGTTGACTTGTTTTAAAAATGCGTAAAAAGAGCTTTAGGACATTGAACAGTAAGTAGCTGTTCCTTGGTGGTTAAAGTGGGATGTAGGTAAAACTTGGAGCCTATTTCAGAGTCAGTGAACCTCCTCAGCTGTGTCCTTATCTCAGCTGTTGTTTCCTCTTCAAAGAGGTGCATTTTCTGTTGCTAGTGCTCCCAGCATACTGAAACCCTATCATAATGTGGATAGTAGGCTTTCTGGTGTATCCTACTGTGTTCAGACAACACATCTTCCAGACTTTTAGGCTTGCCTCTGTAGGGAGAGCTTGATACATTTTCTCTTTACAAGTGATAGTAATGTAGCTAACTCTTTTCCTTCTTCTGTGTAGTCAAAGGATCAACCAGATTATGCATCATACTCCCGAATGTCTTCATCCCCCACCCACAGTCTGTATGTCTTTGTGAGGAATTTTGTTTGCCGAATTGGAGAGGATGCAGAACTCTTTATGTCGTTATACGACCCCCTGAAATCAACAGTTATAAGGTAAGCTTTCTTTTTATTGCAACAGAGTAGCAAAAGGACCTAGCCAAAATAAAGCAAAATAGCTGCCAACATGCTAGTAATACAGAGGATATGTAAATGAAAGGAAGAAAACCCAAAGGAAAGGGAAGTGTGGGCAAATGTACTTGTTGGTGGCTATTAAAGAATTCCGAGGTGAGGGATCCCAAGTAGGTTGATGGGAAATTCCTGGGCTAAGCATTTCAGAATTTTGGGGAAACCTGAGAACACTTCAAAGCTAAGTGATTATTCTTGATGGGTGTCCAGAGTGAAGTACTGAAATGGGGTGAAGGGGACAAAATGGAATTAATTTATAAGTTCAAAGATAGATTAAGATTCTATTGAGTATTCCTGTCAAAAAGATTATGATCACAGTAATGCTTCTTCCAAAAAAGGTGCCATCCTGTCTTGTGTTCAAATTATTTGTATAGCATTCTTCTTGTCTATTTAGTCTGGTATTAGATTTAAGCACTCACCAGAGACTGCTGTCTGTTAGCAACCTTTGTTACGTACTGTGGGTTCTGATGTACTGTGAAAGGGAAGAATTTTTAAATCCCATGACAACAAGATATTTATCTTCGAAACAGTGAGAACTACTTGGTGAGATGGGGGAGCAGAGGCTTTCCAAAGGAAATTGATATGCTCAACAATCTTAAAGTAGTATTCACAGTAAGTGTTCTCCCATTTATCTTGCTTGTATTTGCAAATTGGCTTGTCTTTTCCCTGCGGTCACGGTCAGAACTCCTGAAGATTGAGCAAGGTGAAGAAGGAAGCAGAAGACATCTTAGCAACAGAACAAGATGACCAGTCACTGAGTGCTTTAAGGCAGTGACAATGCTTCAGTGACCTTTCTTGAAACCAGTTTGCTGCCTCCCGAATTTACTGTTTCCTTTATTATTTTTATCTGCTGTACCTCTTGATTGCTACTGTTTTCTCTGTGTTTCTGACCTTGTATTTTCTTCAACCTTTACACTGTCAGGTTTTCCATCCTTCTGTGGGCTCAGTTTGAGTGTGTTTGGTTTTTCTTTCGTTTTTCTTTTTTTGTTTTTTTTTAAATCCATTCATTACTGAGACTCTATTTATTAGTGGAGGTCCCATTTAGATTTCAGAACCTGCTTCTGCCTCAACTAATCCTTCAGTTCTTTTTCATTTGTATCTTAGGATCTTGGAAATAAAGACCTTAGCCGAGACAAAATTTATCTAGTTTGTCAAATAGTCCGAGTTGGAAGGATGGATCTTAGAGACAGTAACTCAAAGAAGTACACTCAAGGACTAAGACGGCCCTTTGGAGTGGCAGGTAACTGATGTCTCCTGTGCTGACTGTATCTGAGATAGGACCCAAGTAATACTTGTCAACGCTGGACAGTAGTATTCTGACATGCCTTGATAGGGTTGATATCAGTTGTCTTCCATGTTTGATTTTTTTAAGGCCATAATGGCTGCACATACATTAGCATTTTCAGGTCAGAAATGTGCTTTTGAATTTATTTTCCTAATAATTCATACTTACTGCTATGCAGCGCAAACCAAAACAGTGCTAGAGGATAGTAACAGAATTCTTTGCCGATGAAATAAAACCACAACTGTGTCCCAAGAGCACCACCAATGCACTCATACCTGTATTCGTGGGATTAGACCAAAAGTAGTCTGAAGTAATTCTCCCTTTACACAATGTCATGTCTGTAGTGTGGACTTTGTACTACATGTTCTGCCCCTAAGGTCTACCCCTATTGGGCTGCACTGCTTGCTAGTGGGATAAAAATAAGTCCATATTTAGCTAGAAGCACAAGGACATTAATGTACACCATGCAGAGAGAAGAGGAGCTATTTTGTGATGCTATTATATGTTTTGATGATTTTTCTGTTACTCTTCTAGTTATGGATATTACAGATATCATAAAAGGAAAAGCTGAGAGTGATGAAGAAAAGCAACATTTCATTCCCTTTCACCCGTAAGACAGTCACAGATACCTTTTTTTTTTAACAAACAAAAATATTTCTATGTTTTTGGCTGTAACAATCATGAAATGTTTCAGAAAAAGTAGTTTTTCCTTTTAATAACTTCATGATTTAATAGTGCTAATGATTTAAGTATCTGTTTAAAAGGCATTTAAGACTTAACAGGGGCTACTTAGTATATTAAATGAAGGTATATTTCTGTGAATGTGCTCCTTCAGACAGCTGGTCCTGTTTAACAAAACCTGAGTAAAACAGTTACACATGCTCAACAGAAATCTTTACGCATATGGATGACTAGTACTTTATGCATGATTCTGGCTTGGATTTGTGAAAAATCTGTTAAAAATTGGGTTTCAGTTAAAAAGTAGTTGAATTGTCACCCATTAGCTGCCTTTAAAAGAAATGCCAGGCCAGCTGCCTGACAATATGATTATGATACTTGCAGATCAAATGGAGACATGCCAGTATCCACTGGAAACATATTTATGCATTCTACATAACACTGATGCTCTGTCAATCAGAGAATAAATTTAATTCTGCAAGACCTGTGCATGATGCACTCTCCTGTTGTTTCACTTGTTTAAAATTTGATTCA